CCACGAGTTGCTGAGAAATACCCTAGGAATACCAATCTTATTACAGGACAACTCTTCATCATACCAACCCCCGCCTAAGACAGAATCAATTCAGAGTGAGTATGGGTTACTCATAGGAGAATTTGAGGATAGCGGCGGCCGAACCTACTCTAGATCCGGTGACTCTACCCCGAAAGCGACATTGATGCAGCCTCTCTCGATAGATGTGCCGATCCTAAATTTTGAGGAAAGCCCGGCGTCCATCGAAATATTAAATAAGACATACCCCGTCCAGGGATCTCTCCCCTCTCCAGCAACAATATCTGAAACATTTCCATCCTTAGAGACCAGAAATGTCACGACTAAAAATGCCCTTATGGGCCCTCCCCGACTACCGCCCCCCAAAGCGCAAACCCAAAATACTTCCAAACCAAAACCCAAATCAACCTCCATGTTACCTCCTTCGCGGCCTTCATTAAATGTCTCACCCCGTCCTCCACAATCCGCAGCTTCCTCCCTCTGCGTACCCGTGTCTCGAGGCCTCACCTCTAGCACCCTTGGCCCGGCCCAAATTCACGGAAAGACGCAGCCGTCTCGGCAAGTCAAACTTGAGCCTGGACATTCGCCACTCGACTGGGCAGCGATATCATCCAATCCAAACCACAAACTCCGTGGAGAGAATCTTCCACCAACGCTAATACACGTAACACCGTCGATGTTGAGAGAGCATAACGGAAAGAAAGGGCAAGACGCATGGACGTCATACTTGGGTAAGGTTTACAACATAACTCCTTACCTACCGTTTCATCCGGGTGGGAAAGGAGAGCTATTGCGCGGGGCAGGGAGGAATTCCGAGAAACTCTTTTCAGAGATTCATCCGTGGGTTAATTGGGATGGGATGCTTGGGGAATGTATGGTTGGGATACTTGTTAGTGAGGATTATAAGGGGAGTGGCAGTGGGGGAGGTTTAGAGGAGATGGATTGATTTTGTGACAAAACCTTAATACCTGTTCGTCTTAACTGGGTTCTTTTTGGATTTAGATGGCTGGGTTTCAAGTTATACCCTGTGATTGATCTGGAGTTTTATAGGATTTTGAGCTTTTTTGTGTGGACAGTAAGGACATAAGGTTACATAGGGATATAGATAGGTATTTCGTAGTAGTCACAATTAACAGAACAGCTTCGCTCTCTATAATCCGCAATTCGCCCGGAAAGTATTGATTAAGTAGTCGTATTACTTCCATAGTCTATCTACGTTCATCAAACAACCTAACGAACCCATAACGTCTCCAGAAGGAGTATCCCGCCACCGATAACAGAATGACAAAGAACCATAGGAACATATTACTGCCAGTATCACCACCGACTCCTGCAAAAGTACGCATCAACAATTGTTCACCTCACTGGTTTCGTATCCGTAGATGTAACGGATAGAGAAGGAGAGGGAGAGTACTATTGAGCGGGCGGAATTACGGACGGCGAAAAGAATACGGACTTCAAAGCTCATCCTTCTTCGTACCTTGGATGTTCACCAGTTCCGTCTCGAATATCAAAGTGGACTTGGCAGGGATGGGTCCTATGCCGCGATCACCGTAGGCCAGCTCCGGAGGGATGGTAAGTTTGCGCTTTTCACCAATGCACATGTCAAGGAGGCCTTGGTCCCATCTAAACCAGAAAAGCATTTAGTTAGCCAGTGCATTTCAAAAAATTTTCAACGTACGAAGGCGGAAGACGCAGGGTTTAAATAATATACTCACCCTTTGATAACTTGTCCCTTGCCGATGGTGAACACCAGTGGCGGACCGCGGTCGTAGCTGGCATCAAACTGGGAACCGTCAGAGGCCAAGGTGCCACGGTAATGTATTTGAACAACGTCGCCAGCCGTGGTACGGCGCTCGCAATCGAGAGTGTGAGTCTTCTCGATTTTAAGGCCGTTGTCTTCGGCGGCGACAGAGGTGCTGAGGGAGAGAAGAGAGAAAGAGAAGAGGGTGAGGAGGGATTGGGTACGCATTGTCGTATTTATTGTTTTGTAGTACGAAGTATACAGCTAATATTTCTATATGGTGGGTATTATGAGATTGATAAATATCTGGAGAGCGGCGTTTTGCTCATAGTGGTATTGAATGTTAGAGCCTGAAAGTTGGATGGGTGTTATTTGGCGTTGGAAGGCCCACACTTTTATTTTCGAAATCAACAACTATTTACCGCAACACTTATATTACTTGGGATGCCAGCTAACTAAGTGCATGGATTTTAATGTCTATATAGCATGCCCCGGTATTTAGTTATATGTAAAATAGGAATTAAGATCAGACTAAGGTTGCCGCAAAAGTTGCAATTTTAAGATTGACAAAATGTTAGCCGTGAGGGGAACCCTAAACCCTGAGAATTGAAGACCGCAGCCGAGAGTTATTAACGTAATCAACCACCCAACGCCCGTTTACACCCAACGCCCGCTCAAATCTTCATTTTTCATTCATCTTTAACCACCCACACATGCACCATGAAGCAGTTATACAAGCCGCAATTGATGATTTGAACATGCAATTAATGCCTAATTACACTGAGACCACTAAAAAATATGGAATCAGCTGATATATGTTGTCAAGGCATTATAGAGGTGTTCAAATATCAAGAAAGGAAGCAAGCTCTATTCACTGCAAAGCTCTCACTGATTTGCAAGAAAAACAGCTCCTTTTTCATATCAATTGATTGGCAGATCACAGTTTCCCTTGTACACCCCAAATTCTTCATAATCTCATTATTGAGATTCTAAAAGCATCTATTGAAGTCAACTGAGTGACTCAGTTCTATAAGCATTATAAGAATATGATCAAGTCACTCTATCTGCAAAATATTGATCAAAAATACAAAATTGCAGATAATTCTGCATACTTCAAGCATTATTTTGATCTTGTAATAGATTTCTTTTTTATACTACTTTTTTAATTCTCATCTTGCTAATTTATCTTAATTTTTCAGCTACAGATAAAAATCATGAAATATAATCTTAAATTTGTAAATATCTACAACTTTAATGAAAAAGAATTTTTATTAGAATTCATTCACACTCTCAAATATATTATATTGATTAATTCACTCAAATCAGACTATATGATAGATGTCAGTCAGAATGACAGTTGAGAATTTATAATACTACTTGTCTTAATTTATACAGATAAAACTTCATTCTCATCTACTCTTATATATCAAGAGAAATCAAGAGATATGCAAGATACTTGACTTGAAGATTTTGATAGTAAAAAGAATCAGATCTACTTCACTGCTTCAGAAAATGAATGAAGCAATGATAAATATAAATTAATATAATTAAAGAAGATTTTTGAATCTCTTACAAAAAAGATAACAGATCATAGATATAAATTTCTTATATTGAATAATTACTTATCTCATGTTAATATGACATTCATCAATTACACAGATCAGAATTGAATTCTACTCACTGTTTTTTCTTCTCATTCTATACACTGATTACAGCTGCTAGATGTTGAGATATTTGAATCATTGAGTAAATTATATTTCAAACAACTGAATGAATGAATAAGAACTGGAATGAGATTCATATATACTACAAAGAGGTCTTTTTGGTAGCTTTTTGACACTGTGTGAAAGAAGGCAGTTACATTTTCAAATATTAAAGCTGCATTTGCTGCTACTGATTTACATTCATTCAATTTAAAATATATTTTTAAAAAGCTTCAAATATAATCTTGCACTCTTCTCAATGCAATATATCAATCAAGAATATCTACTTCTATTGTTGATCTGTAAAAATTGATGAAGCAAGTCAAGTAATAGCAGCATTAAATATATAATGATCTCAACTGAGTAATCTATGCAGGAGAAAATCTTGCTTTTGATAAAAAGATTCTTTTAATAGAGAATCAGCAGCTTCAAAAAGCTCTTAATCAAGAGAGAAGATGTTACAAGTGTAACAGAGTAATAAAATTGCTAAATCTTTTGAATTCATCATTGATATAGTTTTTCTCACTGACAAAGATGCAGAGTATCTGTGAGAATTTAGCAGTCTCAAAGATTGTCAAAAAGAATAAGCAAGCTTATAAGAAGAATGCAAAGCTGCAACACATTATTCTTAAGAAACAGAAGAAGACAAATATCATTTAACAAAGAATGAAGTGAGAGACAGCTCATCAGATCACAAAACAGTAAAAGAAAATAAATAAGACTGCAAGAGCTGCTCAATGACAGATTGACAAGAAGCTTAGAGATAAGAAAAAGACTCAGAAGCAAAAAGAAAAGAAAGAATAAGCTGTCATACAGCTATAATCACAATTAAATAAAAAGATGATTGAAGAATTCAAAAATCACCTTTCTAATCAGAAAAGTAGACTCTCAATTTCACAAAGAGTGACTAAATCATGTTTTCAGAGCCCTGTCAGAATGCTCACAGATTCACTGTCAGAGAAATATGATGATATTGCAATCTCTACTGATTTAATGACTGCTTGCTCATTGAATTTGTCTTCACTCAAGATTTCACATTCTGAACAAGTTATTAAGTCAAACAAACATTTACTGAATTAGCTATATATTTTTATATGTAATTTTCTATATATATATTTTCATCCTATAATATATGATCTTAAAATCTAATTGTGTTGTTGAAATAATGTTGAAAATATTTCATCATAGTGATGGTGAAATGGCGGGCGTTGGGTGTAAACAGGCGTTGGGTGGTGGATTACGTTATATTTATTCAAACCACGCATTGGATGGGCATATATATCACTAACTCAAACCCCTAGAGAACTCCCCTTGACATGAATTTACATCCCAATCTACGGGACCTGCATCTGGTAATGCCTGCTCAATATTTAAGTCGTCGAAGGCCATGGCATTGAAGTAGGAAATTATCCTTTAAGTGCGCTGAATTGAGAGCCCTTGGAGGAGTATTTATATATATCCATTTTCCTCCTGTAGCCGTTGCCTATATATAAAAATACACTACATTGCGCACGGTTCCTACAACTCGTGCCACAATGTCCAACTTGTTGGCGATCCTCCCACTCGAGATAATGAATGAAATTGCCTCCTATCTCAAGTTGTTAGATTTTATCAGCTTCGCCCACACAGCACGCCTCTTCTACAACATCGTCATTCCAAGAATCCATAGGGGTGCTGTCAAGCATATCTTCCCCGAAATGAAAGTCATCTATATTGGACCACCAATGGGGAGCCGATTTTTCGAAGCCGAGCAAACGGTTCTGGAATGGGCAGCAGGTAAAGGATTTGCCCGTTTAGCAGATAGCATCCTGGGGCTGGCCTTAAAGGGAAGGTTCGCATACCTGAATTACAGACATGCGCTGAAATTAGCAGCCCAACGAGGGTTAAGGCCAACAGTGGAATTGTTGTTCGAAAAATAGTCGCTTACAGCACGACAGGGACGGGGCCATCTCTCTTCTCGAAGCCGCCTGTACTGCCACCTACCCCTAGGATTGAGCGTTGATGCAGTTACGCTGCAGACTCGCAGGTACAACACTATGGATGTGCTAACTGCCCAAGCATACCTGGAAATGGTGTGGCTGTTGTTCAGTGAATGAAATCTCCTTGAGGAGCTCTGCCTCTATGCATTCATCAATACAGTACACTGCAGCTGGCGGGCGTAAAGAGACAGTAGAATATTTTCTGAGAGTAGGGGTGGAATATCTCAAACCCTGGTATGCATAGGTGGAATGTTATACATTTGATGCTGCAATTGCAGATCTCATGATTATTTTATCAGCTCACCAATTATCATCTCAGTACCTAATAAAAGAAATGTTGAAGTGATTGAACTACTTGCTTTTTAGAGGTTGATCCATCTTTACAGTAATATATAAAAAGCATATTAGTGCTCCACATCTTATGTGAGAGGGTTGTTAGGCAGAGCTAAAAGTGTTTCTTGACAGTGATGTGACAGATACCTTTATGAAAAACCTAGCTGGATTCATAGCACTACATCATGCAGTTTAATCAAAGTATAATGAAATCTTCTTGAGAAGCTCTGCCTCTATGCATTCATCAATACAGTACACTGCAGCTGGTGGATGTAAAGAGATAGTAGAATATCAAAAGACAGTAGAATATCTTCTGAGAGTAGAGATGAAATATCTCAAACTCTGATATGCATAGATGAAATGTTATATATTTGATACTGTAATCACAGATCTCATGATTATTTTATCAGCTCATCAATTATTATTCTGACACTCAAGAAAAGAAATATTGAAGTGATTGAACTACTTGCTTTTTAGAGATTGATTCATTTTTACAGTAATATATAAAAAGCATGTTTAGCAAAGTTGGACGATCAAATATTCTTTTATCTTCATTCATTACCTCCATTTATTCTGCGTATAGATGTTAATGATCTTTTTAAGCGGCCAGCTATTTCCTCTTTCACGCTAGCCCCATTTAGGCCTAGCTAATTCATCCCCGCTGACTACAAATCTTGCCTGTTGTAGAGAAGCTCTCATCATTATAGAACATAACAATTAATTCGCTCTTACGCGCCCACAACAATCTTTTCTTTGATGAAATCTCCGCTCGATGTATGCCAATATTTAGCTAATTTCCCTCCCATATCCCAAGCGAATTCGCAGACGGTAGTATAGCGGAATTATGAGACCGACATTGCGTCATTCTTGTCGGTATGGTATTATTTGTTGGAGGCTTGATGGCAAGAGGAGAAGACAGGACAATTGATGAACTTTTCCAAAGGCTTCTGGGTTCTGAATTTGTTTCACGTTATCCCAGATCCATGCTTGATAAACCTTGTAAAATCATGTCAACATGGTGGGAGATGATTTATCGACCCTTGTGAAGGTAGGATTATCGTCAGCCGGCTATCTGCTTAGCTTGCCTTGTCTGGCTGGAAAAGTAACAAGGTAAGTAAGTATGGGATGCAAATTGTTGATGATGACTGCTGAGAATCAAGCGCAATTTCCTTTAGACACTATTAGGCAATGGATGAAAAATGAGATTAAGGGAATTTATACCATAAATGCTCTGCTGCCCCGCAAATAATTTCAACCCAGTAGCACAATCAACTACTACGTATAGCTAATAAGACTAATAGTTAATGACGACTTCATGATGTGGGTTGAGTTCAACATTGTTTAATATCCATAATTATCTCATTCATGTATGCGGAACTGATCGAGCAAAAAGTATCAAAACAGGGGAGAAGGCTATTTATACACTATACCAGATAGTAACTGCACTGGTGTTAAATTGAGCATGATGAATGGCTCATTTTAAGATTGATTCACATTGTATGTCAAACATTGATTGTGCAAGAGGTTAGTGATATGATGATTAATATTGCTGTTATGCATGAATGTCACAGTGCACTTGGCCTTGATGAGTCAGTGAGGTAGCAGTGATAAGTTACCCCTCTCCATCACATCAAAACTGTTTTGAATATATCTTGCTGCAGGGGGATCAATACTAACAGGACTCAAAAATTGTTCTCTTGCATAACTGAATAACAACACTGACTTTACAGTCTGAATGCTATTTGACTTGGACAATAACAATGTCTTTCCCCGGTAAGATCTGAGTACCACTTACCACTAACAAGGTCTGCGTTGAGGGTTTTCATCTTGGTAAAGAGAGAAAATATCTCCAGCCAAGCACAAACTGACAATTGGGACCGTGCTTGAACGAGTCAGCCGCAATCTCTGCCAGCGCCCTCTAATATTCTGGGATTGACAGCGGCTGGACTCTAAATGGAATGGAATTGTAATATTTTTTGCTCGTGATCGTGCTTGGTTGCACCGAATGACGGAGATAGGGTGCCATGGCAGTAGTGACAATTTAGAAATAGGAGATGGGGTTCTACCATATATAGAGAGCCTGTCAGAAATTTTAGTCTCAAATGTGTCTGCTTTATGTTTACCACAAAGAAAGCATACTTCTGAGATTTGCTTGACCAGTCGCAAATTTTGTCCATTCGTTACACACTCTCTTTGCCGTCGTATAAATTCGTTCTCAATAATGAAGCTGGCAACCACCCTCATCACCTTGGGCCTTACCCTTGCAGGTGGTGTCGTCTCCGATCCCATTCCCGTGAATCTTGATCTCGCAGCGTTCCAAGCAATTTTTAATAGTATTGATTCTAGCTCGAGCGCCTACTCCGCCGCCATCAAGAGGGGACAAGAAGGAGGCATTATTAGTGCCGGTGATAATTTAGTCACTGACATCAACAAAGGCGTTGAGAACGCTAATGTCAAGGAAAAATTCTCAGCCTTCGAAGTTCTTGGCCTTATCATGCCCTTGGAATCTCTCACCAAGAAGATCGAGGCAATGACCGGCGAGATTATCGCTAAGAAGGATGAATTTAAGGCCGTTGGTTTCGCCTACAAGATTAAAGAGAATCT